ACGTTGTCAACGTCAACAGTGTCAACATGCTATCAATATATCGATAGCAAATGTTGCAATAAAATTCTTAGAAGTGTCTCAGCAACATTTCAAGCTCTCAAAAGTGAAAATAGGCCATGAATGTTGAAGTAATGTTGCATCGATGCTGTTCTTCAACTTGCAACATCGACTAAACATTGGCAATTTTTAGGAAACGTTCCAGCGGAGACCTAGGGAAGACAAAATTCCCGGCGACTGGGGAAAGGACTCATCGGACGCTCGACCTGCTTCCCAAATTCTCGGGGAAGTACTGAGTGCCCCGGAGAAAAGAGCCTTTTAGCTGAGGAGAGGATGCACGAGTCATTGGTTGCGACAGAGGAGCTCCAGGCATTCCTCCGAGAGCGTGTTTACGCAAAATGTAATTAACGCATTATTAAAAAAAAGTGGTCGATTCGGAAGTACAGTGGACAATGGTTTACCCTCCGGTAAAGTGGTTAAGGACGTGTACTCGGTGATGGGCCACGGCACAGCAAGACGGCTCCTCCCCACTTTGCTATTTAAGACAGAAGTTCGGAAATGATGTCCGGGACAGTCTGTCAAAGAGAACTGATATTTACACGTTTGGCCGGTTTCCATTTTGAACTAACTCTGGCATTTTCTCCTTGGCTAATGACTTTTGTTACATCCTGTTCAAGTTAAAAGTCCTTGGTCATTCTTTTTGCCAAACCCTGCATGATACACGAGGCTTCTGCTCTACTTCCGCGATCCCACACAATTCTCTTTTGTGACGAAGGGTTTAGGGCTTTTAGCATCCCGTATTTTCTTTTGAAACAGTTCTTTAGTAGAATGAATGTTTGCTTGGTCAATAAGATTCTATCGCGAAAGAGACATAGACCAGTCTTTACAATGTCTGTCCATGCATGAGCGTAACCGGTGACATCCATGTACAGGGTGTGTCAGAGAAGACGAACCCATTTGAAATCTACGAAAAATTATTGTTTGCTGATATTTCTCTCTTATTTACAGGTTTTAATATTTTTCAAGGTTTGGAATTTATCTGTCATGGATCAATGGGAATTTGCTCACCATACGAGCATAGTGAAATTGCGCGCAAAAGGCTCCATTGTGCAAGCGCAACGTGCGCTTCGACGTGAGTCGGGAGTATACGAGGAGGAAGAAAAGAGGAAGAGGAGAGTAAAAGAGGGACAGAGGAAACGCAACGTGCGTTTCGATTCACGTTACGCTTGCACAATGGAGCCTTTTGCAAAAAAAAAGTCCACTATGTTTGTATGGTGAGCAAATTCCCATTGATCCTTGACAGATTAAGTTCCAAACCTCGAATATTAAAACCTGTAAATAAGAGAGGAATATCAGCAAACTAAACTTATTTGTCATTTCAAATGCGTCCGTCTTCTCTGACAATGCATTTTCACATTTTGAGACATTTCATTTATCTCATACGAACATTCCATTTTCCAACTATACAATGGATAGTTGTTGACTTTTCTTGCACTTCCTTGTGGAAAGAAAACGCTACAAAAAGATTGTAGACCCGCATTTGGTTAGATTACGATACAATACAGGGAAAGGGTATACTTTTCCAATGACGTGGAAGGAGGGAATGTTGCACGCACTTGGGAGGGGGAGGGAGGTTCGAGCCTTGCCTTTCTCTACCCGCAGTGCAGCTAAGCAAAACCAGGATGGGCCGCTTGCAACCCCTATTAGAAATCGCCTGGGAGAGGCACGTGTATCGGTAGCTCAATCATCGGAATCGGAGTAGTAGTATTTGCTAAGCTCCCGATTGATTTCTCATCCATAAGTATTTTTGAGTACAGTCAGTACAGTCTTCGGCACCTGTAGAACGCAAAAATTCTTGCAGAGAAGTCTCATTTATTCTATCTCATTTATTTTTTTCCAGTCAGGACTTTCAATACTGGTAGTACTTACTCAGTCCTTGCTACCCATTAAGAGCAACACCATCAATGCTAGGCAAATTCATCTGTCCAGTTTTTATTGCAGGGTTGCTCTCTAATTGTTAAATATTTTACTGAGGGGGGGGGGGGGGGGGGATTTGTCGAAGGGTATAAGTATGCGATCTCAGAACTTCATATTTTACTTTTACAATCGACTGGAGTTCCTAATGATGGTTCTGCAATATACCACTCCAAAAAAAAGAGAGAATAGCGGTGAGGTGGAAGAGAAAACCACCCGGATCCTGAGTCCCCTTCGAGGCAGTCACACATGGTCCTCCTCTGATTGAATTCGTATCCAAGCAAGAAGTGGAGACATAGGTCATTGGGGGTGCTCGAGAAAGACCAAATACAGTGGAACCTCGCTTAACGAGCATAATTTGTTCCCGAATCTTACTCGTAATGCGAAACACTCGTTAAGCGAATCACTCTGTTTGACTGCATATTCATATACAGTCAAACCTCGCTTAACGATTCGTTATGCGAGGTACCACTGTATACCCATAACTCATTATCGTTTCTAAATATGCGAACTGAGTTTCGTGAATTTTCATCAGGTGTAAGTAGGGTTTCCCAGCTTCGCAGAATGTCCCATTAATACGTCTCAGGTTTACAAGTGAATTTTATCATTAAATTTGAACAAATATTTGGTGCTTGACAAATCGAAAAACTGCATGGTATCGAGACACTTACTAAAAAGAGCCAACGCCACTCAGTTAAGAAGGGTTTCCCTTTTCAATTGCTGCGAAAAATAACTCATGAACAAAAGAACACGCAAGCTGTATGGGATGTGGATCATGTTGAAAGTAAATGTCCTTGAAAAGAAGGTACCGATGTGGTAGGACATTTACTTTCGAAAGGACGGAGCCACATTTCATATAACACGTGTCGATGAGTTGCCTGTGACAACACATCATCTCCCGTTTGGGTGACATTTCATAGCCCACAGTGTTTCCAGATCTAACTGTATCAGATTGAGGTTATTTGAAAGGTGTACCAAAATAACCTTCGCACATTGCAGGAACTTGAGGAAAACTTTAATGCAGAAGTAGCCAAAATAACCTCAGCATTTTGCGAAGCGACTGTCAAGAACGTCGATAAACGTTCACTTTCCTGTGTTGCATCTCACAGAGACCATTTCAAAGACACTATCTTCAAAACCTAAGATGTAACGTGTTGCACTTGAATTGTAAGACCTGGAGTAGTACTTGTGCAAAATCACACTGTCTCGGAGCATAAATAAAAAAATAACAAACCATTTACACTGCTTCAATGTTACTGTGCCACCTTGTATAATGCAGAATCTGACATAGCTTCCCTAGCCATGGGCTTCCTACAGGAGGAGGAACATCTGAGTGTCTTCAAAACCACTCTACCGGGTGGCCAAAAAAGTGAGGCCAACTGTAACACGTGTTATGGGCAAGTTTAGGCAATTTAGTTTATTTATTTACGCGTTGTTTTGTAATGATGTCATCATTATGTAATGTTGTCGCCATATTTTTGTCATTTGTAACTGCTGTAAAACTAATTATATGAACATCAACATTTACAGATTCAGACAGTATGGGTAGATTAACTAAGAAAGATCGTGTTTGATCTGGAGCTTACGCACTGAGAAACATTGGAGTTCTCGTCGGAATAATCAAGGAGTTTCCTAACAAGACATGGTCCAGCGCAAGTATTGATAGACTCGTCAAGAAGATCGATACTGATGGCACAGCCGAGAGAAGGCCTGGTAGTGGACGTCCAAAGTCTGTTAAAACTCGAAAACTCTCAAGGTCAATATAAGGTCATTCTTATTTGTCTCGAATACTTACAGGACCTTGATTTCAAATAAAAATGCCTCTCGCCTTAGACGGCCAAATGAATGGAGGTATACATATAANATGACACATCTCTTTGGTCCCATGTACTCAAGGGATCATGTGGATCCTCAGCTGAGAGTAACCCATTCTAGTCCCACATGAATATGGGGGAACCTGGACCAAACTGTGATACAAATTATCAATTCCATGCTGAACGGTGTAAATACTCTTCGTGCTGCAAAATTTAGCTGCATTAAGATTCGCACCGATGAGGGAGAAAAAATTCTGCAGGCTAATTCAACGAAACCGGAGGGGGACGACACCAGGTCTGTTACAGACTCACCTGGCCGAGTTTTGGTTTCGGCATCGGTGCCGCATGGAAGGAGTGGACCTTTTTGAAGGGCTCCTCAATGTGATTTTCTTTAAGATAGGACACATCTACACACGGGAATAACAAGGGATAACTACAGAATTAAAAATTCAAAATAAAAGTACGACATACACAAAACGTAAACGTAGCGTAGATAAACCTTACTTTATATCGTTTCTATTTGGAGTGAAAATGTTCACACTCATGGATTTCGTCCATCCGTTACATACATGGCCCTGGTGGGGAGAGGGGAAAGGGGGGGGGGGAGGAAGAAGTGATAGAGAACGCATATGCGACATCCGTGCGAGGAAGAGGATGGCCGCCTGGGAGGAGACACGGAATATTGGAAGCGAGTCTCTTTCCGCCAATCAGCCCCCCATGCGCGAACGAAACCCACCATGCTTGGAAGAAATCCCCCATGCGCGAACGAAATCCCCCATGCTCGGAAGGAATCCCCCATGCTCGAAAGAGCCCCCCCTTGCGCTAATTGGTTTACCGTCTAGAAGTGGCTCTGTCTTACCTTTTGCTTTTCCAAAAGCAAAATAATTGTTACCTGAAAGGCATTTTTAATACTCAGAATATGCAATTGCCAATGCTACATCATATATATTTCACATCTCTCTTCCTGATTAGAAAACGTGTTGAGGGTGGTTTGCGAGGATAAAAAAGTACATTCCTCGGAAAGAATATCTTGAGAAGGTTTGATAGTAGGAAGGACGTATGGTTAGTGTATGGAGACTTTGAACGACCTTCATAGGAGTATACAGATAAACAATTCTGTGCCATCCAAGGGATACTTTGCTCTAACAATGGAAATCATGACTGTTTTCTGATTATAGCAAGAAAACAAAGGAATGAACTCCTCAGGGATTCCCCTCTGTTGTCAAGCAAGGAAATTTTTATTTCTGCCCACACCATTCAAGAGCTAGGCCTATATATTTGGGCACAGCCTCATTCCTCTCAGCCTGGAGAGTCATGGAGTGTAAAGACAATGACTTGACCCACCCCATCATCATCATCACCTTCACATTCACCTTCATCTGGTCTCCAGGAGAGTCACAAATGAGAGAGGAGGAAAGGCTAGCTCTGAATCCCCCTCCTCTTCAATCTTCCAGGAAGAAGTAGTTTCCTGATTTCTTTTGATCCACATCCTGTCACAAGAAAGAATTGGGAGTGAAAATTGAAGATTACTGAGGCAGAGAGAGAGAGAGAGAGGGAGAGATGTATCCAGTGGGTGGTATCCTTGATTGCAGGCACCAATCAAATTATCATGTTCTTCAGAAGAATTAAGCACAGGTAACAAGATTTGGATAAGAGTTACAGATTACCTTTTAATCATGTGTCATAGTTAAGAGCATAAAATGTATCAATATGAGAGAACCAATTTCAAGTAAATCCAGAATCAGAGCATGAATAAACACTGGCCAAGAATACCATCCAACAAGCAAGCATACCTTGACAGAGTTGAGCTTGTTGATGCGTGGTCGAAAGTTGTTTGGATCTCGTCGGAACGTAATGTCAAGTGAGGACAGAAACTTATTCATTCCATTGAGGAGAGTCTGAGGTGTACTGGCAAGAGTGTCCATTGATGGTTCACCTTCGAATACTATCACCCGATCAGCCAGATATGTTGCCATGATGAAATCGTGCTCCACAACAAAGCCAGTTTTCTTGGCATGAAGAATGAACCTTCAAGAAGAAACAAAACAGGGTTAGGATTTTTATGCATGTAAATCCTGGAAACATGTATCCATAATAGCAAAATATGAACATTGTAAGGCAAGAAGGCAGCATTGTGGCATGTGTGTGCTTAAGCAGGTCAAGCACACTTTTCTGCATTTGTTTTGGCTTATATATTTTGTTGCTTTTCATAGTACGGATTGGAAACGGAAAATTTCTGAGGACAGGAACAATCAGATACCATGTTGCATGTTACATATCTGCATATTCAAGATAATCTGCTCATGAGGATCTAAAGAGGTTCCACCTGTCTTGGAGATCCATACCTTCCTTTCATGCATTTCCCTATACTTTTGTTGACAATTAAAATGAATGTAAGTACAATCAATCCCACATCCTGGAATACTACACATAGAATACCATTGTGTGATCCCAATTTCTTAATAAAATGCATAATGAAGGAAATCACATGAATGAATAAGATTATTGGAGTAGCACCCTTAAAAAAAACTTCTCTCAAAACTGAAGTGCATTTTTAATTAGATATGAAAAATAACATGCATGTTTTGCTTCTTCCATGAAAATGCAAAATGAAGCACTGCCCAGTAGTTTCATGTAATAGAACACTCTGGATAGTGGAATGAAGGCAACTGGTCCCAGGAGTATTCCAATAAGAGGAGTTGAATGGATAATGCTAGTAATATAATTATGAGAAAAGGGTGAAAATATTAAAATAATAATCATATAACAAAAAAATATACATTCTTATGCAGTGGTCATACATGCAAAAATAAGCCTAAAGAAATTCTGTACACATACTCTTCAAATTCATATTGTGTGAGAGACAAATCAAACTTCATGAAAAAAAATTAAAAGCATATAAATCCCAGCCTTACTAACAAGCATACCATGAATGTGGATCATATTAGTACATTTACAAATCAAATTTTTAACCCCCATATGGTGTACTTACATTTTTACTGCAAAGCCCAACAAGCAAATCTGAATAAAGTATAAAGTCATTCTGAAAAAGTACAACCTATGAAAAGTATGAAAAGTACAACCTATTAGCTTGAATTTCCTACAATATGGGAAACCTTCAAATACTAGGTTACCCATGAAAGACCAACAATTGCAACATGTTGATAGGGTGAATGGCTACCAACTCTTTATCTTATAACTAGAATTGAATGCATTTTATCATGAAAGGATACTACAAAAATGGAATAAGGATGTAGCAGACCATTCTGATCATAATTAACTCTATCACCATTATAACTGAAAACTCTTTTCTTGTTCCAATGAAATACACTTTTAGGTATGAGTCACCATAGCAAAACCCAGACTTTACATAAACTAGAAAGATCAGGTCAAATTTAGCCCCCTTCCGTGTCCCTCCATCAATTGAAAGACATGGAAACCATTTTGAGGTTGCTTGTTATGGCTAAAAAAATACTCATCTTAGCCAAATCCAAGATGGTTACTCTCCACACCTGCCTCTTACAAAAGAACATAACAGAATGAGGGGCAATTAAAAAGTTCAACTTTTTCTAGCATTAGTTCCTCTAGAAGCTGAACTAGTTTTCTGGTTGAGATGGTGTTTTGCAGTAGTGATGATAACTTGTGCAAGTATTTCGGAGTGTAAGCCATTTCTTGTTTTCATGTCATTCTTTAGTCTAGGTCATTAGGGCATACTGAAACTGATTATTCAAGGTCAAGGCAGAGCGCATTGTGAGATTTTGGTGAAGGCCTAAAAAAATTTTTTACTATTATTTCTGGTCAGAGGGCAAATAATTTTGTCCAGAAAAGTCAGACCAATCTCCTATAGCACAGACCTTGCTGCTTCTTAATTTTTATGTTCTCAGAACTGATATGATGCCCCTTTGGACATCAAAACAATGCCTTTCCACACATTTGCTTCTTCATTAGGAGTCAGTGGGTCCCAGGAAATAATTTGCTGGGGCAGTGAAATGCTGCCCAAGTAATGGATAAGATTTGCATGCTTCAAAAGAATGTAAACCAAATAGGTTATGAAATCAAGTCAATTAATATATTAATTCAGTTCCTGTAGCACCTAGTCTTGGGAAGTTCTAATTGCACCTCATGAAATCATATCAAGCTAATTGCAAGATGCAAGTACACAAGGACAGAATTACTTTGATTGATGAGTCATGTGGCTCAATCCACTGCACAAAAGAGAATCTTTAAAAAAAGATATCATCAAAGCAATCAGGTGTTCATATTTGCACCTCAATGACTGCAGAGTAGGGAGTTTTGGATGAACCTGACTGAGGGCAAAGGAGGTTGACTTCTGGGAAAATGACGACTTGTTGGGAAACTCACCTGTCTTGAATGAAACAGAAAACCTCGGGCTATGATAAATCTGGAAAGATTTTGATACCAAGGAAAGCCAAGAAAAAAAGAAATTCCCCAGAAATTCTCCAAAGAAACCTTGCAGGTGCTCCACGACATGGAAAACCAGGAATATATTTTTTTTCAAGAATTAATGAAATCCTACTCTTGTTGCCTGGAAGCTGTTATTCATGCAAGCGTTGGTCCCACATATTCCTAAGCAGGTCATTTGAGTTCCATAAGGATTAAGATATGCAAAATTGAGCAGGTATTTTCTAAGTCTCTCTCATGCCAAGCTGCAGAGGAGGAGAAAATAATTCTGTCCTACCCTGTGACTTAATGTATTTTGTGACTTAATGTATTTTGTGGTTGTCATTCAGAGTTGATACATCTTCCTTGAATTGGAGCAGCCAACAGCAGTATAAGGAAGTATGGAACAGAAGACATAGTATTGCCTATCAACCTGGAAAACATGGGTGAACATTTGTCAATCAATAAACAGAAAAAGAGCAAAGGAGAAAAGGCAGCAGAATGCTCCCACATGTTGATGGCACCTGCAGATTCTGTTGATTCTTTGAATTTAATGATCCATCTATCACACCTTCAACCCAAATATCAAATGGAATGAACTTCTACTTTGATCTATAATTACTTATAATTATTGTCACCTGATGACTTTATGGTCCAGTTTCTCTTATCATCATAGCATTAATGTGCTTTTAATATATTCATGTTAAAAGGTCTCATCAAAATTACACCCTCTTATACAACATGCCAAACACTGACCTCTTGATGACTTTAGCAGCTACAAGACGCTGTTCAGAGTCCAAATAGGCTGAAGGCTCATCAATGAGATATACATCAGCTGGCTTGCCAAGGCACAACACCAATGCAAGTCTCTGCAACTCTCCACCTGAGAGGTTCTGCACTTCTTGGTCTATGATTTCATCAACCTTCAAGGGCTTCAGAACATCTGTGACAAACTTTAGAAGCAAGCAAGAGTTAGTGTAAAAAGTTCCATGGACACATGTACAAGGAGTGACTGGAAAGTTCTGATCCTAAGTAGGAAGGGAATATGCAAGGAAGGCATCAGTGATATATTGATATAATGTACCTATAGGACTTGTGATGGCATGGACTAAGTTTGATCGCAATTTTCACAGAATCCACTTTATATAGCTTAATGTGATTGGTTGCATGTAGCTATCAGCCATCATGGAGAAATTTGAGCACTGAGCCATGATCCAGTACCTTAAAAAAAAAAAAGGGTTAAGTGCAAAGGATATCCATGCAGATATACAGCAGACATTGGAAAGTGATGCACCATCATATGCCACTGTGAAAAGGTAGATCGCAAATTTCAAATGAGGAAAGGACATCTTGGAAGATGACCCCTATAGTGGATGCCCCATCACTGGAAAACATTAATGTCATGAATGATCTTGTCTTGGAAAACCATCAAGTGATGACTCTAAACATTGCATGACGGTTGGGAATATCACAAGAGTGGGTGGAGAACATAATTTATTTTGAACTGAAAATGAGGAAGGTGTCTGCCCAATGGGTGCCACAGAACCTCAAAGAAGACCAGAAGTGCCTCTAAGTGACCTTATCATATCCCAATGTAAAGATTCCATAATTTTTTAGCCAACACCTGCACCTTAAATTTCTTCAGGGGCAGGGAGTTCAAGCATTTCCAAGACATTATGCATCACTTTCCTTGCATATTCCCTTCCTACCTTGGCTCAAAACTTTTCAGTCACCCCTTGTAATTTGAAAATGAAAAACCAAATGTGTATACCTGAGGATGGACATATGCATCACGAATCTTTTCATGCAGGAGGTACCTAACTGTTCCCTGGGATTTGGGACTTATCTTCTGTGGCTTATAACTGATATTCAGTTGAGGAACCTCACCTGAAATTAAAGATCAGAAATTGCTGGGATGTCTCATTCAATCAAAATCACATGAAATCCCCAAGAAGAATTCCTTGACATACTGCTTCCTTCATCTGGATCTAGACGTCCAGCCATCATTCGTATGAAGGTGGTCTTCCCAGTTCCATTCTCTCCCAGCATAACTAGGATCTCAGAATCAGTAAAAGTTCCCTCTTGCACTGCTAGATGAAAACCTCCCAGGGTCTTTGTCATGTTTGGATAGGAGTAACGGCACATTCTTTTGATCTCTTCCTCTGTTGCAGATTCAGCAACTTTGAAGACAAGAGCATCTTCACGGAATCGAAGGTTTTCAGTTGGAATGAAACCATCAAGAAATATGTTGATTCCTGGAAAAACAAAACAAAAGAAAGAGCTGAAAAATGATTCCTGATGGAATCTTACTCCTTAAAATCTTGCAAATAATCATCTAATTTCTTGAAATTGCACTATTGTCATCATAGGAGATAAGTGCAATTACTTATAAGTGTATGATATTTTATATGGAAAATTATTTGTCATGTTCAATATTTATTCAACAAAAAACAAGTCTCTTACTAATTAATAATAAAAAAATCAATTTCACTATTTGCTTCAACCTTCAGTGGCAGTTTGTCAGGGTAGACTACATTGTAAAATTGGGAGTTCTCGAGTCATTTGTTAACTTATTCTCAAATCAGCAAAGAATGAAAATTTTTTTTCTCATTCCAAGGTACAAGCAGAATAAGACTGCTCCTAGTGGACAAACAATGGATGCATTCTGTGAAGAATGGAATTGACTGGAATTCAAAATATTGACCTCAAATCCTTTGAGTCCAAAGCAAGAAAATAAAGATGGATAGAGGAATATAGAGTGCAGCTCATGGGTAGAACAGAGTGGACTTGCCTACATGGTGCAATGACTCATACAGCAACATTAATGCTTGCTCCCACACTTGGCTATCATTCTATTTATTTTCGTAAATGCAAATCACAGGAGGCTACAGTTGCTTCTTGTCAATGACCAGATTCCATTTTGATACAGTCACAATGAATACAATAGCAACTAGTCCCAATTACTCAAGGCCCTAACTTTTCTTCCAAATATAGGGTGGTTCAAAAAAACACTACTGTTTTCTATGGGAGTTAAACAGTTTCATAAATGCAGCAAAAAAATTACATTGGATATGTGATCAATATTTGACAGTTACAAGATGTTGAAATGCTTGCCAGATTTTTTAAGCACCCCTGCCTAAGTTGTGCAATGTCCATTTAGAGGTGAATTAAAGGTGCTTAGAGGTGAATCATTCCACCTCAAGTGAGGTGATTGCACAATACACAATATGACACTTTGTGACATTCCTAGTTCTTCCAGAAAAGGTTTTTTTTTAAATTTAATTTAAACATCTCTGGAAATAATGCAGGTATTTTACAACATTCAGATCACCAAAGGTGATAAATCAGTGAATATCTTCTGCATGACTATGCAGCAAGGATCATGTACCAGTTGCAAATATGCACACATTGAGTTTTACATGAAAAGTCAGGAAAAGTTATGACTGACCTTCCCTGACACCAGATGGCATTGTGACTACACCATAACAGCCAGGGAGACCATAGAGACAGCAGATGAAGTCAGAAAGGTAGTCCAATACTGATAGATCATGCTCCACAACTATGATATACCTGTGGATTGAAACTTCAATGTGGTAACAAGGTTTCTCAACCCTGCACATATCTGGTGAGAATTCAATATGAAGACATCACAAGAGTTTTTGCATAAAAAAAGTACATATATGCCAATAGAGATTTTCCTGTTTAAGGCAACGAGTGAGATGAAAACTTAAGACTGTAAAAAAAAAAAAAAAATGCAGCTTTCATTTCCTCATGTTCTTTGATTACTGTAAAAACCTCAATATATATGTTTTAAGCAAGCAGCTTTTTTTAAATATAATTACCATAGTTTATTATGATTGTAAATTTAATCAGCAGCTGCTTTTTTGTGATTAATTATTGAAAGCCCAAAACTATATACATAAATTCAGCAAATTCTAGTGTCCAGAAATTATCTTTGCCACTTGCAAGTTGTATTAATATGAAACAAATAATCATGAAAAGGTGAATCAAAAACCAAAATAATATCCAAAAACACTTCACGTATTGTGCATAATGAATACCAAATTCACATTCATTCTGCTGGTGGGGTAACATAAATTGGTGGGTTTCACAGGAGCTGAGAAAGTACAGTGCATTTTTTAGTTTAGAGTAACATGTTCTGCTGCACAAGTGAAACATCATTTCCATTCAAAGTACAGGAAATAGGCCCAACAAGACCATCCATTCAAGCTTGGCATAAACAGTTTATTGAAACTGGGTTTCTGCCACTGCAAAGGTGGTGGAAAAGATCAGTTGAGAAGATACAGGCTGCTATTCAACACAGTCCTTGTAAATCCACCCATTGTGCCAACAAAGAACTTCAGTTAACTAACAAAACAGTCAGGAAAATTTAGTGGAAGAGATATATGTTGAGGCCATACACATCTCAGTTGCTGCAAGCTGTGACAGAAGATGACAAAAGGAAGTGGTTCGGTTTTCCTGCTTGTCATCCCTGTTTCAATGAATTGTAACAAAGTTTCATTTTTGAAGCAGTAAATGTTTCTTCAAGCCAAGAAATGCATTGTGCTTTCTCAGTTCCTGTGAAATTCACCATTTTTGCTTATATGACACCTACACCACCAGAGGAGTGAATGTGAACTTGGTATTCACATGGCACAAAACTTGAAATACCTCTGCATCTTTTGGTTCTTGTTTCACCTTTCTATAATGATTAAATTTGAAGTAATTTGACTTGCAAATGGTAAAAATGACTTGTGGATGTTCCTGTATATATAAATTCTATATAAAAATTGATCAAATGGTAGCAGACAAGGAATGTTTTATTTTGTAAATTGAAGCTTTCTCCATCAGCTGGAACAATTTTTACAGCAAAAAAGTAATAGTAAATTGGGGCAGCTATGCTTTCTGTCATATGGCAGTGAAAAAGTGGAGGGATAGTTGTGCCATCCTGTCAGTCATAAAGGGTTCATGGGAAAACTTCTCAATTGCATCATCTTCCTCTGCATTAGTTTTCATCTTTGACTAATGCTTCTCAATGGAATAAGTATTCTAAAAAAAGCATTCTCAGGATGAACCTTCAGGAAATTCAGAACTTCAAAATTGCTCCATTTTGCTTTTGTTCTCTTACATTTGTTTTAAACTCATTCAGTTTGAGAGCATTGCTTTTTTCATGCTCTCTCTCATTTAATTTTCACGCTCTCTCTAATTTTATCCAAAGGTAGAGAAAGGATTTTGTACATAAGCAAAAAGAAATTATATTCATTTCCTTGCAAGACAGGCCTATTGCTGTTTGTGGCAATGGCATTTACACGTTCATCACTGCATTCCAAGCAAAAAAGGAAAATACCCTCAGACACCATGTTGCCTTCTACTTTGTATTTTCATGAGAAATTGCTTACTTGTCAGAATGGATCAGTGACCTCACAGTCACAGCAGCCTTTAGTCGCTGCTTAACATCCAAATATGAGGATGGTTCATCAAACATGAATATGTCGGCCTTTTGAATGCAGACAATGGCAATGGCAAATCTCTGCAATTCTCCACCAGATAAGTCCTCCACATTTCTATCACGGAGGTTTGTGAGATCTGAAAAGTAATAAAACATAATTCTCATGAATAATTACAATTGGAGCCTATTCAAATGAGAAATTCAGCTTATCCTATATAAATAAAAAAATAAAAAAAAGCCACTACAGTAAGATATAATACTAATTCTAACCCAACATTGCACAGATCTCCTTCTGATTGCTACGCTCATCCTTCTTGTCAAGCAGCTGCTGAACTGATCCTTTCACAGCCTTTGGGATTTGGTCCACATATTGAGGTTTGATGATGGCCTTCAAGTCATCTTCAAGGATCTTTGTGAAATAGTTCTGCAACTCTGAACCTCGAAAATATGTGAGGATCTCAGTCCAATCTGGTGGATCCTGAAAATAAAAGAATACAATGACATAGCAATAGAGAAAAATAGCTTTACTTCAAAAAGAAGTCCAGGTCAAAAAACAATAATTATGCTCAAGCATAAATCACTGGCATTGACAAAAACTTTCTAATCCTATACTTATACCTAGACTCACAATACTGACTACAGCTTAAAACACATGTACAGTATGGCAAAGAAAGATCCATGACTTCAAATCCACATATCAATGCTCTTACTGGGGTAAATTTCATGAAAGCTGTATGGTGCATGAGCTTAAATGTTCCAAAAAAAAAACTCTAAATTTCATCACCAAACCACCAAAAGAAGACATTCCATGAAGAATTTAAATAGAAAATTGGAAACAGACAGGGGATTCCAGTTCCTTCACATTACCTGCACTGACTTTGAAGTAAAATAGATTAAATTCTGCAAAAATGCAATGCAAACTCTTGATTGATACCTATATCCATCAATCATGAAATAGCTCCAGTTAGATGCATTGCCTTAAAGTGATAGGTCTTATGTTTTGCCATACTCAGCTGCTTATTACACCAAGCCTTATTTCTCTCACATTAAATCTTCCAAGGTTGGGCTTGAGCTTGCCAGCCAAGATCTTGAGAGCAGTTGATTTGCCAATTCCATTTGTTCCCACTAGACCAAGGACTTCTCCTTGCCGGGGAATTGGCAGACGGTGGAGTTTGAAGGAATTTTGAGAGTAGCGGTGTGTTGTATCCCTTTCTAAGTTGCTTGGGAGATTGATAATAGTGATGGCTTCAAAGGGACATTTCTGAAAAAAAAAGGAGAAACTTGGAAACTGACTAGAAATACACAAAAGAGGAGTCCCATAAGTTCCAGAACCAAAGTTACCTTGACACATATACCACACCCTATGCAAAGCTCTTCTGATATACTTGCAATCTTATCTTTGGGTGTGACCTCAATGCAAAGTTTGCCAATCCTGACAACTGGGCATGACCTCTTGCATTCTTGTCGACACCTCTTGGGTTTGCATCGATCATTGTTGACAATAGCAATTCGAGTCTGTTTGTCAGTCTCCTCAGCTTTCCTTCCTTTTGGAGGCATTTTGATGGATCCAAATCAATGGATCACTTTCACACCAAGCTACCTTCACCCTCAACTTTCAGTACAAGAATCAACAGTAAGGGCCTATGCCTTTAATAGACCTAGCTGTAACTTCAAAATTGTATGGATCTCAAAGCAATCACAAATCACAAACCTGTAATTAGAAAAGACAAATCCAGTCTACAAGAACAAGCCAATAAAATGAAAACAAATAAATATAAATCAATCAAAATTTTACAGTTATGGAATTTATAACAGAGCAATCCTCTGTGTTCCTCTAGCTCCTCAATAATTGACATATGCTAGCAGGCTGTCAAATTATGCAAATTAGGATACATTCACACTCATATAATAGAAAGATAGTTTTCCATGGACCTGCCAATGCCAGCAGAACATTGCATGGTTACCATAATTATTGCACAGGGTGGCAGAAAGGCAGGACCTATAGGTATTTCACATTCTGTAGCAATTGTGATTTTATACACTAGTTGAATGCCATCTAGGTCACCAGACTACATGACACTTGACTTCTTTCTGTGGGAGCATCTAAAATAGTGGCAGCAATGCATTAATTGCATGGCTAATACTCAATGTCACTTAATTTAGGCTGGTTGAAGTCAACATCATCACTGCTGAATTCAATGCAAGTACATCCTTGAGATCCATGATGCTGAGAATTTGACACTTCAGAGGGCATCATTAGAAGAGACTGGAGGCTTTGAGAAAGGATGCCTCTTATGTGGGTTTTATATAGATTAGCTATAAATTAGCATAAAAGAGAATGAAATAACAACAAATGGGAATCAGAAATTAAATGATTTTAGAGCATCTTTGAAACCACAGGATGCACATCATGATAAAACAATAATTTCCTTGCTTCACTCAGATTCCCTTGCTCTGCTCTGCTATTGGTGCCTTTAATGATGTTCTGAAGCATTAAGGAATATTCCTGATTTCATCTGGATACTTACCTTCTATTGCTGCAGATTTTTAGGTTTCAGACTGCAATTCTGCTCTTTAACATAACCCCAAGAAAAGACATGTCAGAAGAATGCTAGGAATCTTGAATTGCTTGGATTCTAAACCTGTTCTTGCTATACATCTGGGGGGGGGGGGGGGGAATGTTACCAGCAGGTGACCATGCATTGCAGTAGTCACAATTATGGTGCATCCTCTTTAGTTCTTAAAAAAAAATAAAGAACCAGCTGAATGCTAAATATTTCTACAATAAGCTTTCCCCTTAAGATTCATGCAGTACCTTTCTATGGTTCAACCTATGTTCTTCAAACCTTAGTGTTCATTCTGGGGCATTGTATATCTCCAATCACACTGTTACCTACCTTTCCTCTGAATTGCAGCCCCCATATGATACTTTCCTAAAACACGAAGGAGGAAGATAACGTCTGCAAGATCATGCTTGCACAAACTACCGACTATATACAGAGCAACCCCCCCCCCGGGGGAGTGAAGAACGGAGAAAGCAGATTTTGGAGAATCCGCTTCATCAAATGATAGGAAAAAAGACTCTCAGGAAGGTGTAATTACTTGCAATCGACGGAAGCACTCCTATGGAGGGGTACAAATTTAATCTAAAACTGAAAAGTAGAACGGAATAAAAACTGGAACACACTTAGGGACCTAAGGGAACAGAATAGAATGCGGAACGAATCTAATTCGAACCGTTCTGAGGCTCTGATCGCAAGATTACCATAGGCCAGTAAATATAAAATAGTAGATAAAATCCTGGGAGAAACTGAGTTTGGCGTAATAGGAACTGGACTTAAAATCTTCCCACCGGCCCCAGGATGGAGGGCGAAGGCCTCGTGGTGTCATTTTGGGTACTTTCGATCACGAGTCTCTGCCACGTGGATGCCCTATTTAAGGATAACATATTTATGCCCGTGCTCCTCTGTACTTCCGATAGCTGAAAAGACTGCGTTATAAATTACTCTAAAAATTAGATACGAGCCATTATTCATCATCAAGCGGGACTCGTTTTCGTAATCTTTGGCTAAGACAGGCTTGGATCGGATAGTTCTTGGAATCCTGTAGATGGAAGCACAATCGTTCCTTCATTCTTCTTTTCTGGCTTGGAGGTAGCCGGAGACGCGTGGTCGATAGCTCTTCCCAGCATTATATTCATAAAATGGTGAGTTTTTGCCGCAAAACGTTCTTAAACGACGCCTCATTGTTGAAAGATTCATTCAGAAAGCGTTCACAGGCTTGGGGTTGTGACGTTTCTCTCTTGTGTTTCGTTTTGTTTCAGTCAACCCACAGGAAGAAAACGAGGAAACTGCGAGGCCACGTGAGTCACGGCCACGGCAGAATCGGTGAGGGATTCTCAAATTCCAGTTCCATAAATATTAACGGAAAGAGATTCTAGACCGTACTGGCAGCCCCTATCGATGGGTCTACTAGCCTAAGACGCTTGCTTACTCAAATGGGGCTCAATTTCGCCCACAACAGCCCAGCTTCAGCTATTAATAGAGGAATAAGCTTATATTGATTAAGAAAGAAGGAGTTCACTGACAGTTGTTTCATGCAGGAAAGCACAGGAAGCATCCTGGTGGGAGAGGAAATGCTGGGGGTCAGCATCACCATAGGATCAACTTTGACAAGTACCATCCAGGTTACTTTGGAAAGGTACAAACATCTTCAATGTTTCCAAAAATGACTAAATGTATAAATATATAATGTATAAAGGTATTTTCATTTTTAAATGGCTAAGCTTCCAAGGTTGAGTTAGCCAGAGTTTGAGCTTAGGGGCTTTTATACCTCGATGTTGATAAATTATCATTTAGTGTGGCATACCATTAATCTCAGCATAGTCATATGACATGCTAACTTTGAGGAAATGTCTGAACTGTCATGATGGTGTCAGCAGGTGACGATGGCAGGCAAAACCCTGTTTTCAGAGAGATCTACCTATGAGAAAACTGGGTAGTATTATCCTGTAAAAAGTCAGGCTCATATGGCAAGCATATCCAATATTAAGATGAGCATAGGCCTGTGCCCACAGCATCAATCTCCAAGGCTCCTGGCTTAGGCCTATCAGTGATTCAAACAAAGTAGGCACACCCTTATACCTTATATTATGATACCTTAGGACTGGTCACTAGGGCTTATACCATCGATGCACAACCTCTAATCAGCGTGCAGATTCCAGAGAAGAATTTTGCTTGGTAATATTAGTAGCCCTCAAGATTTCATTAAAATATCAATTTGAGCCTCTTTTTTTGGAGTATAGGATGTTCATCTCTCGCTTGTGCTTTAGGAACAGTCAACTCATTGCTTGACTCCAGCATTTTGTACAAAAGAATAAAGATGAGTAAAATTGTATCATTTCCTCTCCATCTTGGTTACATGCCCAAGCCCAGTCATTAGTTTCTAAAAAATAATTAGTGGCAGAAAGGATTGTCCCATTTTTCTTTTGCTTGTCAATGACTTAGTTGAGATGAATGGTATGCATCATCAGATTCCAGAAGCTGATTTTTGTATCAGAAAACTAACTTGCTTTGGTGTTCTGTCTGGAGTTCTCTCCAGATTCAGATCTTAGTATCCTCTAGTTTCTTGTACATTATCTTGACAATATAGTAGGCTAGAGCTTAGTAGCTTTATAGATGGAGCCTTCTCCAGAATTTAATGTTCTAAATGGAATTTTCTCATCCCAGTTATCCAGACTCATTTTACCAATGAAAGGCTTTCTTTAATGCCAGAACTCATCATCAAACCATGAATGAAGTAATTTTGCTACAATAAGGATGGACATGAGGTTCTCATCATTACCAACATTCAGGTCTCGTAATAGCTTACATGTGTTTGGAGGAAAATAAATGGAGGTGTGTATGCTCCAAGGCAGGATGCCCACATGGATCTGTCTCAATCACTGAGCTAAGAAAAAGAACTGGAGATGTTGCGGCCATAGGAGTAGCATAGGGAAAAGGGTGCATTTTGAAGCCATATTGGTTGGGTCCAGGCTAAAGCGGGCCTGCGGTGCGCATTGGCCGAGGAAGGGAGCAGGTACCGCGGGAACATTGGAGC